AAGGATCCACATTTATTAGAGGTGTTGGGCACAGCTATGATGGAACGACCGAAAGAGGTGTTCCGGACATTTTTGGGCGGTGTCGCGAATAAATGTGCAGAACACCTCATGTGTGCATGTTTCAGTGTTTTGCACACCTGCTCCCAGCGTGTACAACAGCTTCTATAACAATTTTTATAGGTGTTTTGGACACTATTGGGTGAGGTGTTCCGAACGACGGTCCAAGGTGTTCCCAACCGACGAAATCAATGTAAACTACAGTGCATTGACATGTTTAAAACACTCGCCGAAAGTGTCGTGCACGCTGCCGATGGATCACGCCCGAATATATTTGCGAATAGAATTTATTATGCTACATTTACATACGGACCTCGCAAGCTGTCGAGAAACGCCATCATATGCACGCATATTAGCGAGCAAAACGAACTGGCACAGGTGCGATCGCGAGCACCGCGACCAAGCACGGCACGACCGCATGAAAACGCGAGTAAGCGCGACCAACGTGGCTTGCGCGCGCGACAGGAGCACAACTGAACACGACCTACTTTGCATAGCTCACTCAGCCGCCTCTCCTAGACTCCCTCCGAGTTGTCGCAGTTCTGGTCCTTGAGACTGCACTGTAAAGGTCCTGTTTGTGATGTCAGGGAGCGTCTGACTGAGGAAGTCCTATCCTTGAAGGGCAGGCATTAGCGATCACGGCGCAGCATCGTGTCATGGGGTGCGTACTACGAGGTCGTCCTTGTCCGCAACTTCGTTGTCAAGCGTGCTCACACTGAGGCTGTTGTCGGCGGCGCTCGCGGGCGTCGTCGAGATTTTGGAGAGCTTGATCGGCCACGCAGGGGAGATTGTCATCGCGCACTGCGCGGGGACGGTGGTGCACGTCGAGGTCGTGCACTCTGTCGACTTCGGGATACGGTTCACAACCCGCACAGCGAGAGCACACGTCAGCGGCGGGATGAACCTACATATACACAGCGCAGTTAAACATATGCTTCCGTGAACGGGATGAGAACGAACGTACTGGGTCGTCGGGTACACGAAGGTGACGTGTTCGCTGACGTCCGCGGACAGCAGGTTCCCCATGGTGCGGGCCATGTTCGTGTTCGTCTTGTCTAGATGCTATCGCCGTACGGGATCCAGCCGGGCCGAAGAAACTTGAGCTACGCAGTCGACGTGAAGAAGATGTCAGGGAAGCACGAGAACGAGTAAGGAAAGCTTCAGCAGCGCGAAGTAAGACGAAAGCAGGTCGAGTCGCAGGGGCACGAGCACAGGAGAAGACGATAGGCGTGCCAGAGAAGTGGAGCGTTATATGCGTAGCGAAGGAGGCAGAGCGCAGGGGAAAGGTCGAAGGAGGACGAACCAGGCAGAGCGCGAGGAGTGTTGACAAAACTACACCTTTGAGAGGTGACATTAGCATAGCAGCCGCCAAAAAAAGACCTTCATATGGCGTGGCAACGAGAGAAGCCCAGAAACTGAAATGACGCGGTCAGTAGAGCGAGAGCGAAGAAGAATAACGAAGGTGCACCTAAGAGAGACCTCAAGAGCAAAGCACCAGTGTGTATGCGATCTGAAACAGGTTACCATCCGACAAGGATATAGGTAGGTGTTGGAAACACACCGGGATTTTTTTGGGGGTCTTGACACCAGAAAATACAGATTATCAACATGGGAGAGAGGATAGAAGATGTACGGGAAGAGTGCTGCATGTAGAAATGACGACGGGCTCACACGAGTGGGGGTCCATGTCGAGGGTCACAGACTGAAGACGGAAACCGAGCACGGGAGGAATAGCGAAGAAGGTAAAGCACAACGGTAGAAGACGTTGATCAAGACGAGAACGAGGGAGCGTCGATAACAGCTGAAAAGCACAGTGCGCAGAGGGATCATGGTGGTTCGAGGTCAAGATGCAAAACGACAAAGAGGGAGGCTCTTGAGCCGCTAGTGACGTCATCGCAACTAGCTTCCTAATTGGGAACTGGATAGACGCCCATCTTGTGTCCCCAGCAACTTGCGCCGAATTCCTCGCGCTTCGTTCGCCTGTCGCTCCTTGTTTCCCCAATATCCTATTCATCTCACATATTCTGTCTTTCTGGGTAACTATATGCAAGCCGATGAAGATTCTCAGTGGTGTCAACGCGACG